TAGAAAAGGTGGGAGTAAGAAACTCTTCTCTGGATCTGGAGTGTAGCAAAGAGTGTCTGTACCAACTGAAGAGCCAACAAGGCTGCAGGCCCCTGTGCTGTCAGGCATGCACCTGGACTGGCACAGAAGCAGGAGTTGCTGCCCCTGATGGCATTTTCCCAGACAGATAACTTTGGGAAGCCCACGGTCTATAGACGAGGGCATAAAGGACAATCAAGCTTAGACTCTCTTCATATTTATTGTTCTTGGCAGGCCTTCCAAAAAGACATACCAGTATCACAAAGACTCTTGATGCTAGCAAAATGTTTCAAGCAGGATGAGGAAATACCTGTTGAAAGAGTACTGCTAAAGCACTCTACAAGAATTAACAGATGACATGAGATTTGGTTTATCAAAGAAGGAAAAGTCCAACAAACGAGTAACAACCAGAATGACTTTTGAGAAAGGCATTTCAGTTTATTGTCAAGACACTTTCTTCCCTCTTTTCTCAGCAAGTATTTCAGATAATTTCTCATATGCACTTTCAGTTCAGAGAGGTCAGAACTTCCCAGATACTGGTGATCATTTGAAAAAGCAAGTTTGTGGCACAGGAAGTAATTTTTAGATTCGCTCGCAAAATCCAACATGGTTCCACATGAGGTTGTCAAATCACGTAAGAAACTCATCCCATGCATTTGATGACCAATTTGTTGCTGTCAGTCCTGGACTTCAAAGCTACACTTCAAAAAAAGTTTTTATGTTACACAGCTCGTATGCCTTGGGTTGTGCTTAACAGACTAAAACGAGAGTACTGCTTGTGTTTTTTTAAACTCAGAAATAAACTATCAACTACTTTCCATGTTTCTACATGCCACAATCTTAAATTCTGACAAGTTTTGCAAAAAAATGCATTAGTAAATGAAGAAATCAGACAATGTTACATGTTGGAATAAATAAAGGGCTGTCTCTTGAATATTACATTGAAGTACAAGTTTTTTCACTGTGTATCACATCACAAGAGACCTTTCTGTGGAATTTAGGTTTGTGTGATCTTTGCCCTAAAAGATCCAAGTGTGCTGTGTATGGGAATATGCCAATCTCATTTGGGATCATTAGAGGTTTGACACTGTCCATCCATGGCTTGCTACCTTGTCTAAGCTACCTTAGACCCAAACCTGGATTTCTGTGCAACTGCATGATCTCTGCTCACAGCCACATGCTCCCTGTGCACCCATTCTCCTTATGATCCCCTTTCTGAAATGTACTTTTCTTTTGTATCAGGACTCTATAAAAAAGTAAATACATTAAAATCATTATCATTCCCCAGTCTGTGACTTCTGTGCTGACTACTTTGCTTTTTAAGTCCTTTGGACTACACTGCAGCTCCCAGCTGGCACAGCAGTTTGCAAATCACCATTTCCAGGCAGCACACTACAACACCCTGATTAAAGGCAAAAAGGATGGGACTATCTTTTATTAAGGCAGCTTCTCAGCTGGTGATGCTGCACTGGACACTGAATTCTGTAATGCTCTTTCACCTGTTTTAAACTGACCTAGAAATCAGGGATTTTTCCCAAATTTAACTCCTAAAGGCAGAAATTTCTGTGTCCATTTTCTGCAACCTAGTGTGAAAAGACTGTTAGAAACGGCCTGTAATTTCTTCTGGAAAAAGTAAACTGAACAGATATTTAATTTTTAAAGAAGATGCACATGAAAAACATTCCTCTTCAGATAGCAGATAGTTCATTTAGTTTCTTGTATTTCTTGTTTGCAGGATTTAATCTTGTGGTGTTTTGGAATTTTTTTAATGTTTTCGAGTTTGTTTTTGTTTTCATAATTTACATTTTTTTTCCTCACAAATTAGTTTTTACCATCTAAACACAGAACTTAAATTTTTACTGTTTTTTTTTCCTAGAGGTAGTGAAAATGCAGAAACTTCTGCTACCTTATGCATCTGGACAGATTTTTTTTTTCCCCTTCAGTAGCTAACAATTCTGGTTTCATACTGAAGGTTGATGCACAAATATATCAGTGTACAGACAGAAGCAACTCAGGTACATTGGCTACTTCTTCTCTATATACCTCCCCACATGCTTATACACAAACATTTGGATTCACTATTAACAAACAATTTCCTACTAAAAATCAATGACATTTTCCATTAGCATTGTTGGGAAAAGCATTGATTGGCTCTTAAAAGGTTGGCTGCACATTATGTGGAAGAACCCAACTGCAAAGAGCTAAATTTGCAACATAAAATGTACCCAACATTCTGCTGAGGAAGGCTTTTACCCAGTTTTTCAGGATAATATATGACACAGCACCTCTTTCTCAAACATTTCTATATTTTACTCTGTTGAGTGTTTATTAATTCTCACCAGTATAGCCACAGTCACAATCCAGCACTGAGTAGTTGCAAGATTTTAATGCTGCACACTGATTTAAATTGATAACACCCCTTTAGAGCCAAGAAAGTTATCAGTTTCGCCAGAAGACTTTTCTAGTCTTAACCGTGCAAGAAATCACTTCTGAAAGTTATTTAGAAAATTAAGTATAAGGGGGGAACTCAGAAAGCTACCAAGGGCATTATAAAGCTATTGTGTTCCCTTTTGTGAGTACTGAAGTTATTTTAAATAAAACAGATAAAATGAATCCTCATTGCCACTGTAAGTTATGTAACACTTTGTTTTACTGCTGAAGTCCATCCTTTCAATTCCCTCCTATAAAAGCAAACAATGCATCATTTTGAATCACTCACATGTATTGTGGCAATGGCTTTGTTTGAACACTGACTGCTGTTATAAATGATTTTTCCAGAACTTTGTGGTACCCAAAGAATACCAAATCAGATCTGTTTGCTTGCAATAGTATTAACACATTCATCCCTGTGCTGCACGCATGAGTGGCCTCTCTTTGCTTCAGGAAATGACTGAAGGTTTAGCAAGTTATCCCAATGCAAGTGTCTGGAGACCCGTACCCAGTCCATTGGAACCACTGGATGCACAGCTGGTGGTAGAAATTAGACAAGACCAATCTGAGCTTTCTTCTTCCCAATCTCCTTAATTCTTTCCAGAGTTCAGGCACGGTGGTTCTATAAATTCCTCCCAAGAGTTGTGCTCGAGCCACCTACTCAGTGTTGCCTGAGGTCTCCTAGAGCAGTCCTCACTTCCGTCTATAGTACTGCTTGCCTAAGCTCACCCAATTTTGCCCATTTTCCTCTTCTAAATTGCTAGGGGGTTTGGTTTTGGTTTTTTTTCCCCATGTTTGACTGACTCTGGCCTTCTACACACTTTGAATTAGGACAAAACACACAGGCGAAAATTTTTCTTCCTCCTTGTTGTGGCTATTCCATTGTTCCTTTGCTTTTTTCTCTCTTCTGTACTTGCTGAAGCTTCTTTATCATCTAGAATCTGCACTAGCCTGCCCACTCCATACCTTAATCTGTGCATTCACTGTACTTCACAGTAATCTCCTCGCTTCAACTTTTCTGCCAGCGCCCTCTTTCAGGCCAAGCTTTATGCAGGAACCAGTTTCCTAATCCTGGTTTCTCAAAATCCTGTCTTCATCAAACCCACTTCTTTCCCAATTCTTGTAACTGATATCCAGTAGCCTTCCAAACCTCCTCTCACAAGCTATTGCTCCTTGCATAACCTCCATCATTTCAATTAAGGTAGTAAGTTCTCCTTTCTAGTATACTAACTAGTGAAGGTCTGTGAATGTCCCTTTGAACCCTGTGAATGTATTAACAGAGTAACTGGAGGACTCTGATTCACAGGGTTATTGAGGCTGTCTACATCTGACAGTAGAACTTTGAAAGCAAAGGAACAAAACATGAAATGAGTTAATACAGGGCAAAATTTAGGAAAAGACTGAAGCTGAAAACCATTCCCAGTAAAACAGAAACCAGAAATTAATCTCACATCCAGCTTCAATAAAGATTCTTGGTTTAGAGGCAAACTCTAGACCAGCTGTAAACTCTGAGCAAGCCCTGTGACAGTATGATGCATTAAGCATCAGGATGTCAAGTCTGCTTTTTTCTTCAGCACAGGCAAGTTTGCATTTGTGCCTCCTTCTCCTTCTGCTCTGGATGTCTTTAGCAAAGGTTTGCTGAACTTAATCTACGGTTGTAGACCAATAAAACCTCAACTGCAAAACCTCCCTATGAGGAACCTTATCGTCTAAGAAAGTAACTTTGAAGTTGTAAGCATGACAAAATAATTAACCAGTTTTGTCTGCAGGGAGATGACACGGTGACACCTCTGTAAGAAAGTTACATCAGCTACCTAAGAAAATGGCCTAAGTACCATTAAACATATTTCAGCACGCTTAAGATATTTTACTACACTTTGTACTGTGTAAAATGTAGTCATGCAGCAACATCAGTAGGGCTGCATAAACACTGCCTTCTGAATGTTAGCCAAAGCATGAGCTTCAGCCAAGTTCACCAGACATGAGTTTTAGAGGAGTATCAAGGCTACCTGTGGCCAGAGAGGAAATCCAGCCTGTGCTACATTTAAGTTTAATCTCATCTACCTGCACTGAAAAGATGGCGTGCATTTAAGCCAGGCTTTTCCAGAGAGCTCCCCACATAGCCCATAAAAACAACTGGCAGCATCAGCTGGCCATCACCAGGGAACAAGCTGGCTATGCTCCCTCCTACAGGCACTTGGTGCAAAAGGCTGCAGAAGCTTCAGGCTCCAGAGCTAAAATTTCGCCTAGTGCATCCATTTTTCACTTAGATGTTTTTCCCATCTGTAAACAATAAAACAAAGCCTGAGTATTACTTATTACACGTTATCCTGTCAGGATGGTGGCTTAAGGACTGGGTAGCATTTAGCATGGCTTTCAAAGGGACACACCTGCTGTGAAAAGGACTTGGTCCTTTCATATTCCACGTGATCAGCTGCGGGAGACAGACCAAAGCAACATCCGCAAGATGTTTAGCGCAAAACATTCTGCCACTGCTACCGCTTTGTAACAGAATGTAGTTCAGATCAGTATTAATAATGTCTGAAACAATCTACTTTATCCAATTAGGCTTTATTTTCATTTTAAAAATCCAATGGTTCTTTCAATATAGTTAGCATATAAAAATGGTAGAAAGTTTGCTGCACACCAGTGAATACCAGCCTTGTTCGACTGAGCGCAGCTGGATTCAACTTGTCCATTTCACTTCTTACTCACTCTGCTTATAATCTGGTTCTCCAAGAATTTTAGTTTTCTGGGACAGGTTGCAAGTAGGAGAGAAGTAGTAGAAACTCTCACATGACACTGGAAAAATCTTAGGATTATTTAATTTTTTTTAGTCTCAGAATTGAGATACCGAAATGGGATGGATGTGTGAGTACACTTTAGTTGTCTCTAAAGTGAATTAGTAAATTTTGCAAGGAAAACTGGAGATTAGTAGCTGGATGCATGGATTATGGCATTCAGTGGGTTGCCATACGCTGTGGGACACATCTTTTGAAAGAGATTTTAATCGACTCAAAAGACAATATGGCAACTGGCAGGCTTTTTCTTTATTGAAGCGAAGTCACAGCATTTTCAGCACTATTCCCCTCTTGTGAAGGGAAGAGTTAAATGAAGGCCCCTGAAATTTACAGAACTAACAAGTAAAGGATTGAAGAAAGAGATTACAAGCATATTTCTCTAAAATAAATAATCTACAAAGAGTGCTTTTTCTTCTTAAAAGCAATCTAAAAATGTAAAAATTCTACAGTAAGGAGATCAAAAGATATTTTAACAACTTTCAATATTTACAAACAATACAAAAACTGCGCATGCCATCAAATGATGCAAAATTCTTATTAAAAATTAAAAGCTTCATTCCTACCAAGAACCAAAAACTCCAGCCAATATTTCAGTTTTAATTAATGGTCTTCTTTACAATTGGAAAACCGTTAAATGTTCTTATTATCTGTAAAATATACAATAAAAACGAACCTCACTAAATTATTAAGGTTAAAAAAGAAAAGCAATACTGCAGGCAAATCAAAAAGGAAAGTAACTGTAACTTATTCTTTGGTAACCAAAAGTTAGCAAGTATCTGTATTTCAAGTGATGAAAAGTCTCCCCATTTTGACAAATGAAAGACAGATTTCTGGCAAAACACAACTCCCAAGTTTCAGTTTTGAAAGACAGGCTCCACCTACAGCTTTGTAGTGCAAGTCAAATTTCTCTTTCTAATTCAGAAACACAGCTGTCCTGGTTCCGGCCAGGACAGGGTTTATTTTTTTGCAGTAGCCAGGAGGGGCTGTGGCCAGGACACAGAGGTTGTGCTACACTACCTCACCACACCGCTGGGGACAAGGAAGTGGGGCAGCAGGTCACACATTACCAGGCTCCGCATGATGAGCAGTCACCTGTGAGCCATTCACCTCTTCTGTGTGCACTCTAAGTATTATTGCTGTTACTGTCCATTTTCTTACTTCATTGTTGTTTCCAGATTTTTCTTTTATCAGGCCCCAATCTGCACCTTTTGTGCCTCCAATTCTCCTCTCCAACCACTCACAGAGGTAAGAGGAGAGGGGAGTAAGCAGTGCATGGTTCGGAGTGTTTCTGTGGGAACAATAAATTGGGGAATACCTAAACCCTGACAGTAACCCTTCCAAATTCTGCTTCATTCATCTCCCGCTTTCCTGGTGTCTGCTTGCACCCTCTGCACACATCCAGCTGTTCTAGTTCTCTAAGGGAATACTCCAGTCAAGGAAGCAATTCACCTGGAAATGTTTGTTTCACCAAGTGAATGTGTGTGGCTGCATAGCAGCCAGTAGTGTGTTATAAAATCAGCTCCCTTTTCCACGATAACTACACAGTTCATTTTCCCTCAGGAAAAAGAATTAAAAGTACAGTACCCTGGACCAATCTATAACCTGGTGAGCTCACTGCTTGAGCAGGACACACTTCATCGAAGGCTGGGCCATACCCACTAAGGAGCCATGTAACCCCAGCACCAACCCTGCTACCTTCTCTCAGAGGTGAATGTGCCTCATTGTGTCTCCCTCTGTTTAACAAATGCACTACGTTGCATCACTACAATGCTTTTGAACCAAATGTCCAGCTTGTACCACAAGAGCCTTCCCATTTCAGGCTTACTCCTAAATTTTGCTTGCACAATTGCAGTCTCAAGAAAAAGAAAAACTTCACACCCCTACAGATTCTGAGAAAACTTCCCCACCCTATCCCACAAGAGGACTTCTAAGGCTTTACACAAAAAATTCAACTGTTAACTTTCTTCAAGCCACAGACCACTCATTCAAAGCAAGTGCTCCCCACCCCAACCTAACCATGCAGAACCATCATCGCTTCAGCATTTAAACGTACACATGCAGTTCGTGGAATAAATGCTCAGCAAAGTAACCTTGTCCTGGTCTGGGCTTTCTTCTGGAATCTAGTCCCTGTGATTTTCTAGACTAATATCCAAAGCCTTTTGTCACACTGCCTTTTAACTTTCTTCAGCTGAAGAGTTTAGACACTTCCTTGAAGCACCTGGTTGAGTCATTAAGTCTACATGGGCTGGATCTAAGGTCTCCTTGCAGCCTGCCTCCTCAGCATACGGAAAGTCATTCATGTCCATTTCATCACTGTTAAACATATCGAGCTGCCCCTCTTGCTGCTCCTCCAAAGTCCTCCGGACCCTGCCCTCGGACTGTTCCACCACTTCCCCATCTCCTTCACTAATGACAGTCATGGGGCTGCTCTGGATGCGGTTGCGGACGTTGTACTTGCTGCTGGCAGCAGACGGGGGTGTCCGTGACCGGCCGTACCTCGTGCCAGAGAAGGACATGCTCCTTGGCATCACGCCCTCACTCTTGGCCCACTCTTCCTGGGCCCGTTTGCTCTTGCTGGGTGAGCAGCTGGCAGGGCTGTCGGAAAGGTCAGGGGAGGCGTCAGTCCTCGTCCGGTGGAACCGCGGGTCCGTGTTCTTCAACATCTCTGCGGCGGACATGCGGGAACTGGTGTCACAGCGGCTCCCTTTCTTCAGCAGCAGGGCTTTGAAATTGTCATTGCTGGTGCTGCTCTTGCGAACGCTTCTCTGAATAGATCCAGCTTGTTTGAGGGTAGCTAAATTTGGGGAAGCACCAGTGGGAGTTACGGGGGGCGACGGAGAATGGTTGCGGGTACGGTCGTCTTCAGAATCTTTACGGCCAAGGACTTTCCTTTTGGATCTGAGTTTGAAACACACACAAAAGAGAAGAGGATGACACAAAAATGAAACATTTTACCTCCTCTAATTAAACTCAGTTTAGATTTTAGAGGGATGACAATGAATTAAGCTAAAGCAGAGACAGGGAGAAGGGAGAAGTGATCTAAATCTAAAGCATGAGTAAGAACACCACCAGAACTGTACAGGCACAAATGCAGGCATTGGAGGTATAAGATAAGTTCATTACTCTTTTTCTGCAAATCTGGAACAACGAAACTACTAAAACTGGCAATACTGATGTTCAAAATACTTTAGCAAATTTAGTGAATCGGATTTTTTGGAGTCAGTATTCAAGTGCTCAGATTAATGTGCTATGAAGATTTATACTCCATGCTGTTTCCCCGTTAATTTGGGGACTTGATTCAAAATATGTCATCTAGAGTATATGGGTTGTTTTGTTTCATTTTATGATTTCATTTGACACTCTCTGGAGAATTAGAGGTGTAGTTTAGTGCACTTTCCTTCAGAAAAAAGGACACAGCAATGCACTGCTGCTGAAGATGGAGAAAAGGGAGCCACATGTAACAATTCTCGATTAAATGATTTTTAAAAAAACCCCTCCCTAATCCAAATATTAAATAAATACAGAAAAAACTTTTCCAGCTCCTCTCATGATATAAAGACAAAATTCAGTTATGTTGGTGCTCTGTCATTGCAATTTTCAACTAAATGAAGGAGAGACCAACTTCCTGACAAGAAAGTTATCTTTCCAAATGAAAGAGCAGAGTGTTTGTCTATTTAAATGTGAAGTGCAGGGACAACACACCAAAAAAAAAAAAATTAAGACATAACCATGGAACTGGGAATATGTGGAAACTGGACTTTCATTGCCTCATTTTCACATTACTAGAAATCTTTAAAAAAATGTACATGCCTGGTATCTGTAGCACAGCTGCTCTGTTTCTTTGCTGACCGAGCAAGAATTAATTAAAGAAGA